ACATTGTGGACGGGCCTCCAACTCTGCCCTCCATGTGGGATTGTCATCTATGGTTTGTATAGCAAATGTAGTTTTATCAATATTTTAAAAAGCGGTCATGTGCCTCTACACTTCCATACTGTTTGTTGTTCGTTTTGTTTTATTCTATGTTTGAAGAGTTTGTGTGATTTTAGAAGCAGACGCTTCAAGGCCTCAGGAACCCACCTCAGACTCAGTGGGCATTTCACAATGAACAGCACTGGCCTCTGCCCTCAGGTCTGCAGCACTACTGTCCCCAACCCCTCCATGTCTTCTCCACCCTCAGTGCCCGCTGGTGGGTAAGTGACATAGGCCTGGTAATATGTTCTGCAGTATATGCAATCACATCACCACGGACAAACACCTACCTGCTTCTATCTATCTCATAAGCTCCTTCCGCCCGACACAAACGAAACATCCACCTCCTGCAAAAACTACATGGTGTCGGGTGTGGTGGTGCATGGCTTTAATCCCAGCTTTCAAGAGGCAGAAGTTTGCAGATCTCCAAGAGTTTGATGCCAGCCTGATGGGCATCTAGAGTCCCAGGCTAGCTAGGGCTATACAGTTATCAAAACAAACCAACAAAAACAAACGCACAAAAACCAAAACACCAACAGAACTGCACAGAACAGGCATCCTGCTCTGGTGCCCTGGGCTTGCCACAGGCCCCGGGAGCTTGCACACACCTTCCCTTCACCTCTGTCCTTTGGGTCTGCCAGTGTCCCTCCCCTCCCTTGAGGGTCAGAGCTGCAGGGGGCACTCCACAGGACAGAGGCGGGCCTGATGACTAAACCCTTCCAGACAGGAGGGCAGGAGAGCCCAGGCCCAAACCACCTCTCTCTAGCTTGGCTTCCAGCTGCCATCCTCCCCCATCCTCTTCCCCTTCCTGCTCCACCCCTCCTCCTCAAAGGCTGGGTGATACCAGCCAGCATCTCACAGCAGAAGCCAAAAGAAGCTCAGGGCTGTTGCCCCAGAAACCCTAACTACGGAGTGACTGGCCAGGCTGTTTGTTTTTCTTATAATCAAAAATTCCCACTGGGGGTACCCTATGGAGGCTCTAGGCTGCCGGGGCGGCTGAAATCAAAGCCCCAGTTTTGCATTACCTGGGAAGGAAAAGCAGAAGAAACTATGAGCGCACAGCCCCCAACTCCTGCCTAGTTACAACTGGGGATGGGGAGAGAGAAGCAGGCCTGAACATCTGGCCTTTGGCCTTTGGCCTTTGTAAGTGAATCTCCAGAGACATACCCAGTCCATCCAGCCCTATTACCATTTCCAAGAAAAAAAAAAAAACTGTTAAAGGAATGCAGAACTATCCACCCGGAAGCCACTCTCCTGCCTGAGGACCCGTACATAAGCACAAGCCCCATGGGAACTACAGGGCCCGAAAGCTGCTTTCCTGGGTGTTCTCAGTTTTCAGCTATGTAAAACAAGCTATCCCTCTCGTTCGGCTTGTATGGCCAATGCAAGGGAACACCCCACCACACAGGGCAGAAACACTGGCACCTCCCCATGCATTCATTAATCTGGAGTACATGATGGCCCCCTCCCAAACACTAAGGACACAAAGCCCCTATGGCCACATGATGCTCACAGAAAAGCTACATTTAAAAAAAAAAAAAAAAAAAGACATCCAAATTGTTGGGTTGTGCCCAGCATCCTAGGTACCAGAAACCATGAGACTTGAGTTAGACCTGCGTAGCTCTGTGCCCTTGGGCAGGAAAAAAGAAAACCAAGGCTGGCCTCCCACAGCCTCTAGCAAAATACTCCAGAAAGTCAACGGTATTAGCACTCTCAGGTTGCCTTGATGGTTAGTGTGCATCAACAGCAAACTTGAACACAGATACCTGTAAATATCTGCTTGCTTTAAGAATCTATCGATTCATCCAACCAGAAAGCACAGCCAAACAGCTTAGTCACCAGCGCAGGCAGGCAAGGCGCTCTGTGAAGTAAACATGGTCAGTTCCTCCCCCACCTGAGACAAATTTCTACCCAGTGCATCAGCTTGCAGATACAGCGCCAGGGAACAGATGGGGGAATTTCTGTCACCCCCCGATCGCCACTCCATCCCCTCCCCCACTTACCTGCTATCCGAAGCACAGCCCTCTCAGCCGGGTCCAGCACCGAGCCCCCTTGAATCTTTCTTTTGGACCTCTCATGTTTGGGCAAATTCCAGGGTAAGGTGTCTCCAGGAGCTGGAGATGCTGAGCCAGATTTCTGGCTGAAATCATCCTCATCAGAGAAATCCGCAGAGGAGGACATGGAGCAGCGGTAGGACGCGTTCCCGGAGCTCTGAGGAGGATGACACAGGAAAAGCATTAGCGACAGAATGCTCACAGACGATCCTCGCTCACAAACGATCATCAATTATGATAACTCGGCCCCCTCCCCGCCACCAAACTGCTCTGCCCCCCAGAGAACACACACGCAAATAAAAACAAGACGGACTCCGGGGCTCACCATATTCTCTTGGCCAAGTCGGCTCCAATAGAAACAATAAGCAAGCAGTCCCAATGCATGAAGACCAGAAGGAAGAAGTGTGTGGCCTGCGCTCCAGCCACCAGCTCAACAAATGACTGGCCCAACCAACAATGAAGCCAGAATCAACAGCCTTCCTGTGACAAATCTACAGTATCTGGCTCCCCCACCAGGACGGGAGAAACATTTTCCATTACTAGCCTTCTGGTTAATTCATTACGGCAACTAACTTTAAGTTTCAAAAACAAAGCACAAATGCAGGATGTTGGGTCCCACCTCCTTTCCGCTTCAAGCCGCTGCCGGGGCGCAGGAACCTCCTTTTAACCAGTTTTTGAGCCCCGGGTCCTCTTTATTTAATTTGCTGCATGAGACTGAAGCAGGTTCCCAGAAAAGGGCGAGGAGGGAGGGAGGGAGGGCTGATTCTGAGAAGAGCCTTTTCTTAAGACTGGGAGAACACAAAAGCCTGTTTTCAAAAGCCGAAGGCAACGCCAATAAACAAACATCTGAACTCAGTTTAGAGTTCTTGAGATAATTTAAACTTCCAGCAGGGAACAACTGCCAATAATGTAAATGAGAAGGGCACAGGGCAGTGACAGGAAGCCCAGCTCTCCTCAGCCGCAGCCATCACAGAGTAAGATGAGAAACACAGACTTTTACCAAAAACACTTTGCCTAAAGGCTATCCCTCCCGGATTCAGCAGGAGCTTGGTACCCACAGGCTCGGGATTTTTGTTTTTTGTTTTTTCTATAAAAAGGCCCATGGTGTTATTCCTTTTTCATTAGATTGTGTCTGAGACAGCCTGCAGCTCAGGGAGAAAAGATGCCGAATATCTGTGCTGTGGACTAGATTAAAAAGTCTAAAAAGTACTGAAGGGGAAAGTGTTCCTTTGCCTCTTTGCTGAGGCTCAAGGTGAAGATGCCAGACGCGCATAACTTGAATTCCTAGAGATGCAAGTTGTAGCCATGGATTCCCAAGCAGCAAGCGGCAGGCGGAAATCAGCTGGGTGTAGCAGGCTCCAAGTTGAGGCAAAAACACTAGCAACTGCGCACCAATGGGCTGTGGGAGCAACATCCAGAGCACCCACCCACACACGGCTTGTGAAACAGACGATAACCGAATCAGGACCACTGACCTTCCATTCAAACCACAGCTGCTGGTGGCCAAAGCTACTATTGTAAAAGTTCGTACAGCCCTACAAAACGAGACATGCTAAGATTTATTTAGTTTATGTTCACTTTCCTAGTAATAGGCAGGCAGTACGCAGACCTGAAGAAAGTAAATAAATAAAGCTGAATTTCTGTATTTTAAGCTACCGCCCATGGAAAGAGCTGTGTGTGGACTTTGGCTGTTACCAACCCAATTTATTTCCCCAAGCTTCTCTGAAAATTCAACTTGAGTTAGATATCTGAGGTTTGTTGTTGGCGGAGTCTAAAGGGAAGGGTGACATTCTTAAGGGCTTTGCGGGGATACTGGGGTTCTTTGGTGGCCCTGTGTTCCTCAAAAAGGCTTCCTACTTTCTTAAGGTCATCCTTTATCTCTGAGATTCTATATCCACACTATCTAGTGAGACCAGTAATTGGTTAATCTCTACTGAGGTAGAAGGGATAACTGCTCCTTTCCAAAAACCACGGGTTATTGATTTTTGCAGAGTAAATTTTTTTAATGGTCAGAGTCTCAGCTGACTGAACAACAAAATGTGATTTATGCCATGACACCAACACTATTAATCACCTACAGCCAGATGGGAACAGTTAGTACCCTGGACCCAAGGGTGTTGACTGGCACAGCCTCTAATCAGCTCATGTCCTTGATAACTAGATGAGAGAGAACAGTAAGAAAAGAATAACCAGGACCAAGTTTACTATAGGGACACGTGGACCACACACATTTATGTCCGACATGTTTATAAGCAGTAGTGTCCCTTCCTGTCTACAGGGTTCAAGACTTTTGACAGAGCATTATACTTTTTTCCAAACACACACACACACACACACACACACACACACACACACACACACACACACACACACACACAATCACTTTTAGAACTGGAGGTGCACTCTACAAAATCAAAGCCCATCTGAAAGCTGAAAATTGAGACTATATTTAAATGAAGCTACTTCAAAGTGGAGAGCTCATATAAATTTTTCTATTCCTTATTGATCTGCAGTGACTTGCCAAATCATGTCACTACCTCGGGGCTGGAGAGAATAGTATGAGAACGAACATTACTGCGTTTTACTTGTTTGGAGGAAAGTAAACAGTTCTCTGACCCAAACCTTTGATGGGGGCTTCAAACAGTAGGACAAAGGAAAAGGCTCCTAGGCGCAGCAAAAGCCCCAGGTTCCTATTTCTTATTCTACTGGTTGCCTAAAGATTGACTCCTATCAGAATACAAATATCCATGTGCATCCAAAGAGGATTAATTAAATACTCTCTATCTACCCAATGGGTTACTCTGCAGCAAGGAACCAAAAATATTCATCTACATTTAACAAAGAGGAAATAATTCATATATAATGAAACCTTGAAAAATCCATACACATATGTGTACCCACTTGTGTGTATAAAGACTGATGATATAGTACTATTAAACAGTGGTTATCTCTGGGCAATGAGAAAGCATCATGTTGCATTTGTTTCTTACAATTTTTAAATTCAAACAAATAAAAAAAAATCACCAAAAGGAAATGTCCAGAGAAAATATCAGATATGGAAACTCTTACTTTGGGGCTCATGAGCACCACTAAAATGTAAGCGGAGCCCACTGAAGCCTCCTCCCAGGGCAAAGTAAACAAACACTGACACTGAACCGCATTAGCAAATGTATAGGATTCTCTGGCCCCCTGACCCCGGGGTTAGGACTCCAATTCACAGCCCCCTCTGTCATCACCATTTGCTGATAACATGCGGACTAGGAAGGAAGTAGTTCACCAGAAAGGGAAAGGGTGACTTGGGCTGTGAAGACAAGGCTGACATTTTGTCTCCCCCTCCCCCATAAATGGGTGTGCACTATCTCTGTGCTCATGTTGAGTCGCTATAACCAAAATAAATAAAAACACCAGGCTGTGATAAACAACCCTGAGCTGTGTCTTCTACAACCTGGGAAACTAAACCAATTTTAACAATCAAATTAGATCACTAAATGATTCCCTCTAACTTTCCTGATAGCCAGTTCATTTACGTGGTACAAAAACAACCCAACTCTTCTAATGCTGGGATAATTACATAATGTGACATTTTAAAATGAACAATAACATTTTAATTGAAGTCCCAGGACAGTGGGACTGCCTAACTGGATGTGGCCCAGCCTGCACAGCCTGGTCTGTGAAAAACTGCCAGGAAATTGTCTTGGCACTGGGTACCCTCCAAAGGCAATGGGCTATACAGCAAGAATTACCTCAAAAGACAAGGGTATGGAAATACAGACATCAAAGACTAGTTTATATTTAAGTATCTACAAATAGACTTTGTTTGTTTGTTTGTTTGTTTTGTTTTGTTTTGTTTTGTTTTTCGAGACAGGGTTTCTCTGTGTAGCTTTGCGCCTTTCCTGGTCTCACTTTGGAGACCAGGCTGGCCTCGAACTCACAGAGATCCGCCTGCCTCTGCCTCCCGAGTGCTGAGATTAAAGGCGTGCCCACCACCGCCTGGCTCAAAAAGACTTTTTGTAGGAAGAACATTTTAAATAATTTACCAAAAAGAAAAGCAAACACATCTCTGAAAAAAGCCCCACAAGAGAAACAAATCGGAACCACAAACTAAAATACAGAGACACTTCTGCAACTAGACAATACTTAATCTTGCATTTTACGGTGATGTTTGTTTATGTCAGTCAGTTAAAAATCTATCTAATCTATAGGCTCCTTCCTTCAGAAGGAATCTGAGAGCTGCCGGAAGTACAGAGGGATAAAATAGCAGACTTACAAGTAAGTATCTGTCCTTACAAATTCAGCTTCAAATGTATCTTCTGGGAATACTATAGCAACACTCATACAGAAAGTCAATTACAAGGGAATCATGGACTCTGACTGGACCACCAAACTCAAACTACAGAACGGCACAACTCTGGGAGAATGCTACCCAGGATTGCCAAGGGCTGGCAAAGGTTGGCGTAAGTGGGTGTCCTGGGGTCAGCCTGGCAGGCTTTTTGATTATTTGTTTGTTTTTCTTTTTTGTTGTTGTTGTTGTAGACAGGGTTTCTCTCCGTGTAGTTTTGGTGCCTGTCCTGGATCTTGCTTTTTAGACCAGGCTGGCCTTGAACTCACAGAGATCCACCTGGCTCTGCCTCCTGAGTGCTGGGATTCAAGGCGTGTGTCACCACCGCCTGGATAGCCTGGCAGTTTTCAAAGGCAAATTAATTGCAAATATTTAACACTAAGGAGACTTCATATGAAAATTCAGGTGTGGAACACATGAGCTTTTCATTCTGACACAGTCTTCATCTGGCCCTTTTCCTTTCTTTAATGATACATTGGTATGAGAAGCCTGTCATTAACTCATTGTATTCAGAGAATAAAGGAAAGAGAAAGGATGGAAAGAAGGAGGCACAATGCTAAGCAACAGAATGGGAGGGAAAGTGGTTTGGCTTGGTTTGGTTTGTTGTTTGTTTGTTTGTTTGTTTGTTTGTTTGTTTGTTTGTTTGTTTTTTCGAGACAGGGTTTCTCTGTTGTTTTGGTGCCTCTCCTGGATCTCGCTCTATAGACCAGGCTGGCCTGGAACTCACAGAGATCCACCTGGCTCTGCCTCCCAAGTGCTGGGATTAAAGGCGTGCGCCACCACCGCCCGGCTCCAAGTGTTTTTAATAAAACAGAAAC